CAACGATCCTTTTAATGCCCCAGTATGCTTTAAACTGAGCGTCTCATACGACATCCCACCTCATCTCGGGTCAGACGTGTTGGTAGCCATTAAAAGGGGGAAACGCCTGCTGTCGTAGCCTCCACCTCTGGCTGCAGCACCGTTTTCTTGCCAAGAAGGAAACAGTTGTGTGAGGAATTATGTGCTTTAGAGACAACAGCGGATTTAAATAGACCTGTAGGATGTCGCCACTTTTGCCTTTTCGGCCTCATGCAGTTGGAGTAACAGCTCCTTTAATTCCGACAGACGGATCAACTCAGTGGTCAAAGCTGGCTGTTTTCATTTAAGACTCAAGGTGAAGGCCGATTCCTGACAACATGTCCCCAAAAGTTAGTCACACCTTTATTATTAGAATAAGCATCAGAAACAGTTTTATTGCCGGGTAGGTTTACGAGGAACTTGATTGTTGTAGTTCTTTGCATGCGGCTGCAGAACCGTCGTCTCTTCAGCGTCTGCAGCTCGTCTTCAACCCAGACACCAGTTTTGGCCTCTCTCCACCGGCTTTCTGTCTGATTCGGGACTCATTTTAGGGTTTTATTGTTTGTTTTTAAGGTTTTGAATGGGTTGGCGCCACTTTATTCACCAGAACTCTTACATCTTCACACCCCGGTTGGAGCGCCGAGGTCGACGGATGTTCTGAGATCTCGGCACAAAAATAGAGGCGATCGCGGTGGCTTTTCATGTGAGGGCTGCTCAGACTCCAGAAGACCCGCCTCTCCTGTTTGGCATTCGATCCAAGTTGAGCTCTCCGCCTCGACTTCATCCGTCATCGTGTTGCATCTTTTGCTTTTCCTTATTTCATTTTCAGACTTGTTGTTTTAGTCTGATTGTGTGTTGCTATTTTTATTCGTACCTTGGTTCAGCTCTTGTTGTCTAGAAATCTGTTTTTAAAAAATAGATTTGACTCGACTCGACTTTGACTTGACAAGGTCAACCCTTGTCTAACTTTCTCATCACTCACTGTACAAAAATGGCACGATTGCGAAATCGTCGGTTTCTGCGAGTTACAAAACCTCCCGGTTCCAGATGTTCTGAAACTATCACAAATGCGCTTTGACTGAAGCTTTGTCAAGATTTTCACAATTTCATTTCGCATTGTTTCTGTTTTTTCTCAGCGATAATCAGTTCATGTAGTTACACACTTTAATCCTGCTGAAACATGTGAGATTCACGTTAACTCTTCTTACACTTCACTCGCTTTATCGGTAAGTACAGTCATTCAGATCAACAAAGACTTAAATCCTAGGATGATTTCTCTTGTATTTGCTATTCGTAAAGTATTCTAATAGCGATTTAAGGTCTTAGATGGTGTTTAAGGCATTTAATAATGACTAAAATCATTCCCTTGTCAACAATGGACTCCAGAATAAAAAAGGTTTACTGTGCTTTTGCCTCTTGCACATTATTCCTCTCATATGATCTTAACATATAACTTTATTATCTACAAACATAGATAATTAATCTAAAAAGTGTCTTCGTGATTTTTCACAGGACACCTGCAGCCCTCCGACTAACGCGTTGTTCATCAAAAACGCTCTGCATCAAATCAGGAGTAAGCGACGGCTCGGGCCACTTTCACTGGGAGGAGATGTGATCCTCTGATGGATGCTCCACGGGAGAGTGAGGTGGGAAGCGTGCGCTGAATGATGATGTCCTGTTTAGAAACGCCGGAGCTCACATCCCAACTAAAGCTGCCTCGTAATTAGAAAGAGGGGGCTCCAAAAGCTGCTTTCCAGGGCGAGAAGAGAAGCGTGGATGTGTGGACTCGTGCATGTGGGAGAGAAAAATCAGGCAGAACTCTATCACAATAAACTTTGCAACTTATTTATGCTAAAACATGTTTTATTTCCAGAAAGAGCTCTGATAACACCAATAATGGAAGAACAGATGATTTATTATAGATGATAACTGTGCAGTGTTAACAGACACACTGTTAAAATCTGTTTTTTTATCTTTATATTTGACTGTGACAATGTATTCCTGGAATGACCTGCATGCTCAAGTAGCCATGAGTGTTTTTTGGAGACTTACTTTAAGCTTTTCTGGAAGTAGCCTTAACTCTCTAAGCTTCGCATTGACATTGAAGCCACGTTCTGCATCGACTCCGAACATCTCCGTTACAGATATTCTGCTTCTTCTCTCTTGCTGCTGCTGCTGCTGCTGCTGCCAGCGCCGGCTCTCTGTGCAGAAACCTAATGAAATACAGATAGTACTGACAGAAAAGATTACACAATCACTGTTGAGTATCAGTTGTCATGAATCTGTTGTGTATCAGATCTGGGATGCATAATAGGCATTGTCGTTACAAAACAGTACACTGCAAAATTTAAAGAACGCTGTGAAGATCTGACGGCGAGGCTGCCCCAAAAATATGTTTAAAAACTGTACAATAAAGAAAAACTGACAGATATGTTATGTACAGAAAGCTGGCTAAAAAGGGACTTATTCATTGTAATTTAGCAGAAAATAAATGTACAAAAACATTAATACCCACCGTTAAATGACAAGCAGATAATAGTAGTTTGCAGATTATCCCTGTATAAGAACCAGGAAGTACATATCAGAATTTGCATTAAAAATAGAAAGAAAATCTGTAAATTAAACTTGAGAAAAGTCTATTGTTAAAAAAATAAAATAAAAAGCAATTCATTGTGGACATTATTTATAGTTTTACCCTGTTTTTTGTTAATATTCAAATTAATGAAATTTTTTATTTTTTTTTAATGGTTTTACTATTTATCATGTGTAACCCAACAAAACAGGGAAAATAGAATTTAAAAAACTATTTTTTTTGCAGTGTAAAATCTCTCTGGAGGGAGAGAAGCTGTTTTTATTTTACCATCAGTGGTTCTTAATCTGGAACACATCTTTATTCCCCAAATAAATATGTACAAGAAATATCTGCACCGATTTTTCTCTCATCTGGATGTGATTCAGTACCGGTGCACGAACTACAGTAGACTGAACATGATGCTGCTAGAATGGGGTAATGGATTACTTGAGTTAATTGTAATCAAGTTTGGTGTGAATATTAGGAGGGGACACAAGGAGTTTGTCCTGCAGGAAACTGAGTGTCAAGAGTGTCAGTTTTTCAGAATAAAACCCATCTTTTATGTTTTAAATGGGGCCAACTTGTACATGTGATGTAATCACTGAGGGAGACGAATCCCCTGCTTCTGCTGAGACCTACGCCAGTGAGTGTGATACTTGTCTTGTATTTTATGTCTTACCCTTAGCCTCCTTGAGAGTGCATTTATTTATTTTATTTTTTATTTACTTGTACAACTTGCCAGTTTTAGGAACACACGTTGCTGTTTCTAATAAAACATCAAGCATGAATATATGTGTGTTTGTTGTATGTATGTGTCTCAATAAAGTGATAAAAACAAACAAACAAAAAACCAAAAAACACGGTGGGGCAGAAAAAAATCTGTTAAAGAAATTGTGGAATACTGTAATGTTTAAATGCTATAAAAACAGAAAAGATAATAGAAAATATCTGCAAAACAATTATGCATTATTGTGGATTTAAATACAGTAAAACTTTAATTGCTCAGTCACACATTGTAAAAACAAAAACAAAAAACAAATCATTATTTTTAGAAATACAATTTTTTCATGTTGACAGTATGTACAGTTTTGGCCTGTTTTTTTTCTTTCTTTTTTACAGTCAAAATATGAACAATGTTATTTATTTATTTATTTATTAATTTTTCTACATTTTTCTACATTTTTCTACAGTACACTTTCTAGATATTGTCTCAAAATTGAAAACAAACAAACAAAACAAAAACAAGTAAGAAATCTGTAAAACAACAAAAAATTGGTCCAAATAATTACTGTTACAAACTGTTTAGAAAATGTGCATTTTTTACAGTGTACAATGACTGCATACACTTTGATGTTCATGTTTAGCTCCTGGTGTGAACTAAATGCTTCTATGATCTTATTGCAAACCTCTACTCTTAATGAGTGATTGTCATGCAACATTATTTTACCTAATAGCTACCTATGGATGGATTTATTTAACGTAGCATGGGTGTACTTCATTTGAACATTACATTTCCTGCATTCTGGTGAATTTTTATGCAACCAATTGTGCTTTTTGCATCAGTTTATAAAGGAAAACACACAGAAGTCTTTTGCTTCTTTTATGTTTTTATTGCCAGAGAAAATGCATGAGCTCTAAACATTGAGGGGGATGAATTCCCTGCATCCCCCCCTTGAAATCTGCACCATAATGACTTTATAGTGACTTTTTTTCCTCCTTTTTGGACTTGACTTCAATACATAAACTTGTGGTGTAACTACATCATCCCGACTGGAACTTTTTGTAATTCTAACTGCATTTTAATACAACCATAACGCCCCTCCGGTGACTTTTCTCTCTTTTTTGTAAATCTGTGGTGCTGAATAATGACTGTGTAATGACCTCATCTCATGGTCATTACACCCCACTGTAAAAACCGCTGCTCTGTCATTTACCTCCAAGTTGACAACACAGAAGCCTTTTTTTAACATTTTTTATTTCCTTCCCTTCCTCTGCGAGGAAAAAAACAAAAACAAGCAGAAAACAAGTTTTCACAGAGGTTCAAATTGTTTTTAACCTCCAAAGTGTGTTTGATTTGAGCCTCTGCAGCCTTTTAAATAGACGTAATTTAACAAATGACACAACGGGAGCAGAGATTTTGGACGAAGCGATTTTTCTCGGGATAGGGGAGTACATAGAGGTATAATAATGACAAAACTTAAAGAAGCGACAATGTATGCACATGTGATGTTTCATTTTGACTGTTAAGCAAGACACGTGATAATTATTTGCCGTTTTTGTTAATTCACCCCAATTTCTACTCAGAAATGCAGCGTTTGACTTTGTCGTCACCCCCCTGAGCTCGCGTGTGGTACGGCCCACAGCTCCTTTTGGTGTCTCCAGCGTCGGGAACTACAGCACAACATGTTGGAGAGCGAAGGCGAGCTGTTCCCCTCAGAGTTAACTTTTTAATCCCGGTTTTGTCGCCGTTATCGGACCCAGGAGGAGGAAGGCGGAGGAGGAGGAGGTCCGGGGAGACAGAGAGAAAAAAGGGGGAGAAAAAGTCAGTCATGGTCTGAGGTTTGGGCTGAAAGCCGGAGCGTCTTCTTGCAGAGAGAAAGAGAGAGAGAGAGAAAAAAAGAAGTCCATTGATATTTTAGTTGTGCAGAGAAGAAGAGGAAGAAAGGGGGGAAGACCGGAGCAGAGAGCGAGAGCAAAGCGGGGCTACAAGATGCAGCTGGCCGCCGTGGTGCTGTGGGGCGCCCTGATAACTTTCAGTCCAGGTAAGAAACAGAAAAGAAAAGAAAAAAATGTCCGTGTGAACGACGCCGCGGACCTGAAAGTGCATGTGAGCGTGTTTCTGGAGGAGCTGGGCTTTTTTTTCTCCTCTCTTTAAATTCCCTCCTTATCAGATCTCACAAACCCAGCAGCCAAGTTTCCGTCAAATGCGCCATTTAGGTGGTTAAAGTAGAAACTGTGGCGACCAGCGTGTCTGGAGGATGTTGTTTGACAGCGAGCCTGCACGTCCTGCACAGCAAACTTCTTTTTTATGCTATATTCCAACTTTTAACACGTTGTTTTTTGCACTGTGCATCCTTCCCATCCTGTCTACCTGCTGCTGGACGTGTGTAGGTGGTACATAATAGTACTGTGGTGCTTTGAAATGCGCTTGTATGAGTTTGTGGAAGTGTTGTGTTGATGTTACATGAAGGTTTGGGTGCGCACATGCAAGCTGTGCTGTCAGATTGCCACCATCCCTCATTTCAAGTGGGAATAAAGAGACTTAAAAACCAGCCAGAATGCTTCTTTTAACATCTGTGGCTCGTCTTTGATGCATAGAAGCTGTAAATCAGACATGTGAGAGGGAGTTTTCTGATGGGATTTTGAGCTTTTGTGAGCCGGTAGAAAGTTCTGTGCAGTCACACATCCTCTGTCACGCCAATAAGTTGATATCTGGTGGATGCAGCACTTATTTTTTAAATTAAATAGATTTTAAAAGGGGTAGAAAGCTGAACATGACACAGGAGATGGAGCTTTTGAGCTTTTGCATTGTTGTACAAGCTGCTAGAAAGTTATTTGACACATCCCTGTCATGCAAATGAGTTCTGATTGGTGGACACTTATGTTCCTCTTTAATTGAAGAAAATGAGCGGGGTGCGCTGTGACAGCAGGTGAACTGGGTTGTTTATCTGTGATAACTCACATCCTGTGTCCCCCCCTCTCCCTCCAGCAGCGCTTGTAATAGGTCTGAGTGGTTTCCACCACCCCCTTCCTATGTTTCTCTAACACCTTGTATTTACAACATGTTAGAACAGCCGCTGGAATGCGAGGACCCTACTGAAGCTATTTCCAAACACACACACACACACACACACACTCTGACACACACTGGGTTTAGTGTCATCCACACATGGGTGCCGTTGGTGCTCCCTGACATGTCGTGAAAAGATTTACCTGACAGGATGGCACAAAAATTACATCTCGTAATTGGTGCGCCCAGACCTGGGGAAGGAGGTCGGTTGTAATTGCGACAAGTCCCCCTAAATGTCACCAGAAGACTGTCTCCAAAATGTCAGCCAGATAAGAGTCAATATCCAATCGAAAACAAAAGCCACCCTGGATGATCCACATCCTATTTATAGTTGGTCCTTTCATCCTTTCAGATGTAGTTATCGGCGTCCTCCCCCGCCTCCCCTCTTTATCTGGGGCGGAGGGCCGGGCTCGTTTGATTATGGACTTGTTCTGTCATAAAGCAATTAAGTCTGCCGGGCCTGTATCATGTCTTAAACACACCGAGGTCTATTGTGTGTGAACGGGAGCCGCTGTTGCACGCATCATGTGTGTGAGTCTTTTTGTGGCCGGTTGATCTTTACATTTGATCACTTTTCCTGCCAGAAATTGAACATTTCTCCTCCGTAGAGGTTTATTTGTGTTGGAGGAGGGGTTGGAAAACCTCTGAAATAGCATTTAAAGTGTCATGTGATACTGACACTAATGAATGATTATTTTAGGACTCTTAAAGACAGGATCTCATACCGCAGCAATCCAGCGGTTGGGGAAACTCCATGAGAATCTGACAAGGCTAAATATATCTTTGAGGCAATTAATTGGTCAAATCAAAGGTTGAAAATGAAATTCCAGCGGGTCAAAGACGTGACGTGTTTGTCATGCCGGCCACAAATATTGGCAAAGTGCACGAGGAGGACATTATTGCTTCGTGGGGAGATGAATAAAAACGGTAAAGGCTATAATTCCTGAGCTGTGTACAGTAAATGGCATCATGAAGGCCAGCTGCTTTTCCCATCTGACAGTAGATGACCGAGGGTTGTAATTCATCACGCTGACAGTGTGTGTGTGTGTGTGTGTGTGTGTGTTTGTGTCGGGCGTAGAGTCTCTAACGTGTGCGAGGTCAAGATGCCTCCTCGGCTGAGTCTCGTGGCCTCGCGGTAATGGGCTGAGCTGGACTAATGGCGCGTTGGAGAGTGTGTTATACAGTTTAATTATGAGCTCTGGGACAGCGCGACCCCCTTCGCCCGCCGCTGCGATCCCCGCCGAGCCCTCCTCATTTACTGATCAGCTATCGATTCGCCTCAGAGGAACCTGCGGCTGAAAGGCATCGCTGCGCAGTACGTCACGCTTGTGTTTACAGCGAAGCATCTTTTACAAGAAGCCCCATCTAATCTGGGAACGGGAGGAAATTTACAACTCGCACGATGATCCCTCTGCTACAGAACTGAGCAGGACTAAACCGAGACAATTCCTCTGTATGAATCTGACAGCTGGGCAGCCGGCCAAAAAAAAAAAAAAACCTCCCTCCTTGAGTGGTTGGGTTTTTTTTTTTTGCTGCTGCAGCCAAACAAAGAAAAAGAAAAGAAAGGGAATGATGACAGTAAAATACTGTGGGCTGAAAAATCTGATTATTTACAACATAAAAATGTCTATTACAGTTTCCCACAACTCAAGGCTATATTTTCAAATTGGTTGTTTTGTCCAACTAAAACTCTAAAAACCCCGAAGCATTCAATTTAAACTGTTACAAAGCACAGAAAAGCGGCACTTTCTCACATTTGCGATGCTGAAAGTGGTGAATGTTTGACATTTTTACTTGATAAATGGCTTAAATTAGTTTCCAGCAATGTACTACAGCAGAGCCGGCTCACCTCCGATGAAATAAAGAGCGTGTTTGCTATCTATAAAAAATAAAACGAGTAGACTTTTGATATAAAACATTAACCTTCGGGTGATCGTGAAAGCATAATATCAGCAAATTGAACCTTGGGAGCACAAAACACTGAAAGCTGTCAACTAAATGGAGTCGCACGGTTCCGTTTTGTCCTGGTACATCCTTAAATTGATGAAATTCGGATGTCAAAGGTGTTATTTTGGCGTTGCTTCCACCAAAAACTGGCATCAGAATGGGGAAAATGACAAACAGTAGAAAGACCTACGGATGATAACTGTGCTTTTGGCTAATCATTTTAGCAGAAGTTTTAAATGAGGAAAACCGCAGCAGTACGACCAGCATACAGTAGGATTTACACTAAAACCCAGGAGGAAGTGGGTTGCATATAAAGGGAGATGGGGAGTTTTGGCCTTGGATCCGCTCTCTTTGGTCCAACTCGCCGCCGCCGCCGCCGCCGCCCTTTGTGCCCTTCCCCGCCGCCTGCATCCCCTCGGTGGATTGATTACTCCCCTGACGTCCCCCTCCTCGTCCCGGACCTCGGCTCCCGGTCGTGGCCTTTTCGCAGAACCTGCAGGCGTGGTTTTTCGCGTACCCAGCAAGCTTTAGAGAACGTAAAAAATTTATGACTTTGTCTTGCAAAATAGCTCCAACACCGCATTTGATTAAGTGCCCTCAGAGTAATTGTGTTGGTATTAATGGTGTTGCAATGTTGATATTTCCGAATAACTCAGTCTACAGACAGATTTATGGCCTGCCATGAGTTGTTTTTGGTACCGATTCCGCTCTGTAGGCGACACTGCTTCTTTTTTTTCTTTCTTTTCTTTTACCCTGACAGGGAAAAGGTTGATTTGGAGGATGTGGCTGCGGTTTGGGTTTATGAAACGGGACTCTTTTGTCTTTAACTCTTGGCAACCTTTGATTGTTTTCTGTGCACATTCACCTTCCACTTTCCTTGTCGCTTTTCAACGAAGGAGGGGAGGAGGCTGAAAGTTTCATTAATGGATCTGAGTCCAGGGCTGCTGTGTTAGACGTGATTTTTGTGGCCTGAATGAATGTGTGTGTGCCCTCCGCTGGTCTAGCTGGTTAGGTTGGTGTCGGCCGGGCTTTGGCTTTCACCAGGGGAAGGCAGAGTGGGCCACCTGATACCCCCACTGTGCTTTGTGTGTCTCTGCTGAGGGGATGGAATTGCACCTCCAAGGTAGCAGTGGAGGTAACCTATGATTACTTGATTCCCAGCCCCCCCACCCCCCCAACAACATTCTCATATGGATAAATGTCAGACCTCCGAGCCCCCTCTCAGCTCCTCTCCTCGTGTTCCTCCACCTTCCTATAAATCACCTGACTCTGTCCCTGCGAGACCAGGGAGAGGGAGAGAGAGACCCCCGGGGCGGGCTTTCGTCTTCGGGGTCGTTTCTGATTTCAGAACATGATGCCACAGCCCCGGGGCCCGTTTCAATTATGCTCGCCGCACTAATATATGTCACAGATGTCAGCTTTCAGAGCGCACGAGCAAGCAAACAAACAAAGTCAGCAGCCACCGGCAGCTCTCGGCGCACAGAGCAATGATCCTCGGCGCAACAATGGAAATGAGCCGCCGTGCCCAAGTTTGAAATCTGTTATATTTTCGCTGCCGCTTTCACACACTACAGGGATGACGGCCGGCTTCGGTGTGTTTGTTTATGGTAATGACATATGCAAGTTTGATGGAATTTAGAGTGCAGTTTGATCTTTGAGCAAAAGGAAACCAAGATGAGAGATAAAAAGGACCCTTCTGAGCTAACTCTGTTTCAGTTATACTGCCTCTTTTGGTCTCATGGCTTTAGCTTGTAGATTGGGCCACAATTAATTGTATTCTTGGTGCTGTTTTTACCCTCTGAACCCCAAAACCCATCGACAAAGGTTGAAAGGCATGGGGTTTTTAAAAAGAAAAGCCAATCCTACAGGATTTGTCAGTGCCAGAAATGGTCCAAACAGAGAGAATCGGAGCATTTTCAGCTTTCCTTGGACCTCCAACTCACTCTGTGTGACTTTCAGTTTCGTCTGAGAGGTTCACCAAATCTAAGCTCAAAACGTTATTCTACAAATTAGCTCAAAAATAAA